CACAGACACAGAATTGTTACACAGGACACACAGAACTGTTACTGAGGGCCACAGAACTGTTACTTAGGGCCACAGAAGAATTGTTACTCGCACAGACACAGAATTGTTACTCGCACAGACACAGAATTGTTACTACACAGAATTGCACAGACACAGAATTGTTACTGAGGGCCACAGAACTGTTACTTGGGGCCACAGAAACGTTAATCAGGGACACAGAATTGTTACTGAGGGCCACAGAACTGTTACTTAGGGCCACAGAATTGTTACTCGCACAGACACAGAATTGTTACTCAGGGACACAGAATTGTTACTCAGGGACACATAATCGTTTAATTAAAGAGTATGTCAGACAACAAGCAGAGGAGTGGCAGAGGAGGCAATGTTTTTTAGGAGCGAGCAGACGTGGCAGCAGAGGAAGGGGTCGAGGCAGCACTATTCGCAGCCAGAGGCCAGTGCTCCCGGTGTCATCCAGCGGTCGTGTCTCCACCGACAACCCTGCCGTCATCGATTGGTTGGCTCGGTCGTCTTCCTCTTCCCAGGTCACCTCTGACACCTACAGCCAACGGTCGGTGGGTACGTCAGACACAACCGTTAGTTGGCATGGCCCGGGACCAAGCCCACTGAAATCACGTGTCCTCTACCTGCCCCTGTCCTTTGGTGTTCCCTCACCAAGCGAAGTATCGCATGCTGTGGGCTCAGCCCCACTGTACAGTGAGGAAGAGCTAACAGAGGGCGGTCAGGAACGGGGGGAGACATCCGCCTTTTCAGCAGCCAGGCGAAGAAGTAGTGCGCGAGGAGAGTGGCTCGGTAGTAGCCGGTCTAGAGACAGGTCTGTCTCCCTGACCCGACGCAGCCGAGGGGGCTAGTAGTGAGGCGGAGACCCTACTTGATGATGAGGAGGTTGATCGCACTTGGCAGCCTCGTCGTCATCAGGCAATTTCTTCCGCATCATCAGGAGAAGAGGGTGGCAGCTTGGCAGCGAGCGAAACAGTCGGTGGGTTGCCCAGGAGACAGCAGCAGGGTCGCAGCAGTGTCAGTGGAAGCAGTGTCAGTGGAGCCAAACGGCCACGGAGTAGAGCACCAGCTCCACTGCAGCCTACCACCACGGCCAGTAGTGGTGCCGGTGTGCACGGAGGGAAGCAGCAGTCAGCCAGTGAGGAGTATCGGGGGCAAAGTTTCCTACTCGGCGGTGTGGCAATTTTTCGTCAAGCCGCCCGAGGAAGTAAACGTAGCCGTATGTCGACTATGTGGCCAGAAAGTCAAGCGTGGCCAGGGGGCCCATGTTGGGACTACAGCGTTGCGGCAGCATATGCAGCGTCGCCATTTGGTGGCCTGGGAAAACCGTGATAAAGATACGGCGGTTCTGCCCGCCCCAGCCCCCGCTCCATCACCCGCTCCGTTACTTGCTCCGTCACCCGACGTCAATCGCCCTCCATCAGCCAGTCAAGGCTCCAACACCTCTGCTGAGGGGAGTTGTCGCTCGTTGGCATCTTCCGCTCGCTCGTTCAGATGCTCCTTCTCCTGCTACTCCTCTTCACGGATTCCGTCAGCAGTCTTTCTTGGAATCCGTTTCCAAGAGACAACAGTTTGCGAGCACGCACCCGACGGTGCAAAAGCTGAACGTCCTCCTGTCCAAGTTGCTGGTGCTGCAGTCCCTCCCTTTCCAAGTGGTGGACTCAGCACCTTTCAGAGAAATGATGGCTTGTGCCGCGCCGCGGTGGAGAGTGCCAAGCCGTCATTTCTTCGCCAAAAAGGCAGTGCCAGCCCTGCATTCACATGTAGAAGAGATGGTGGGCCAGTCTTTGAGCATGTCGGTCTCCTGCCAAAGTGCACGGCAGCGCGCCGACGTGTGGAGCTGTAACTACGGTCAGGGACAGTACATGTCATTTACGGCCCACTGGGTGAACGTGGTGCCGTCACACAGCCGCACCAGCAACTTGGACAGGTCACGCCGCTTTTGCCTCCACGTTTGCACGTCCTTGGTCCGGCAAAGATGTCCGCCTCTACCACCACCTCTTCTTCCGCCGTGTCCTCAGCCGCCACCCCCCCCCGTGCCAAGTCCCATTACCCGACCGGCATATCACATGTGCAGGGCGCAACGGTGTCACGCTGTTCTGCACCTGGTATGCCTTGGCGAACGTAGTCACACAGGGGAGGAACTTCTGAGTGTAATGAACAGAGAAATCGACAGATGGCTGTCTCCGCGCAAACTGAAAATCGGAACCATGTTGACCGACAACGGAAAGAACATGGTGTCTGCTCTGCGTCAAGGAAGGTTGTGCCATGCGCCATGCATGGCTCAACGTGTTCAATCTGGTTGTCAAGCGGTTCCTAAAATCCACCATCCCACTGCAAGACATCCTTAAAATGTCACGTAAACTTTGCATGCATTTCAGCCATTCCTACACCGCAAAGCACACCCTCCTTGAGCTGCAGCGGCAGAACGGAATTCCACAGCATCGCCTGATCTGCGACGTTGCAACAAGGTGGAATTCAACCCTACACATGTTAGACCGCCTTTACGAACAGCGAAAGGCCATCACCGATTTCCTGATGTTACAAGCGGATAAAGGTACTCCCCTGTGTAACTTCGATGTCAGCCATTGGCAGCTCATGCGTGACACCTGCCGCTTGCTCAGGCCCTTTGAGGAGGCCACGCTATTCGTGAGTCGGCAGGACTATGGGATGAACGACGTCATTCCTCTGTTGCACGTCCTGAACAAATGCTGTTAACAATGGCTGGTCAGGGTGCGGTAGACGTGGCGCACAGATCTCAACGCCACGCCACATGACCCCTGTGGGGGCAGGACAGGAAGAAGAGGAGGAGGTAGAGGAGGACATTTGTGCTCAGGAATTATTGAGTGAAATGGGTGGTTTTTTTTTCCACTCAGCGGACAGGAGTGGAGGAGCAGGAGCATCTGGTAGAGGAGGAGGAGGAGGAGACAGAGGACCCAGACGCACCGTGGCAGTATGCTGTGGAGATGGAGGCAGGGAGTCCCTCGCATTCCTTGGCACAAATGGCCCATAGCATGCTCGGTTGCTTGCGTAGCGACAGCCGAATAATAACCATCAGACAGAGGGATGACTTTTGGCTGTCCACCTTGTTGGACCCTCGCTACCGTTCCAAAATGGTGGCCTTTTTCACACCTGCTGAGAGGGAGGCCAAAAATAACGTACTATAAAAACCACCTATGTAGTCAGTTGGTCTCTGCCTTTGTGCGCCAACGTCCATCCTCAGACACTGTGGGCCCTGTGCGCTCGCGTTCCGCTGCCATGGCAGCAGGGGAGGGGTGGGGTGGGGAGGTAGGAGCAGTGGCAGCTCCACCAGCAGCGGCTGCCTCAGTCTGCAGTCGATGATGAGTAGCTTTCTTCACCAGCGCAGTGAGGAAACTACTAACCAAGCAGCAGCAGCAGCAGCAGCAGCATCAGGTGGACCTGGAGCAGGACCTCAAACAACAGGCTTGGGCCTACTTGGACAGCACCCTGCCAACCGAGGTAGACAATCCCCTTGACTACTACTGGGCAACGAAACTTGACCTTTGGCCCCAACTAGCTGAATTTGCCCTTGAAAGGCTGTCATGCCCGGCCAGTAGCGTGGCATCGGAGCGCGTGCGCGTGTTTAGTGCGGCAGGAGGTATTGTAACTCCGCGGAGGACACGACTGTCCACCCAAAGTGTGGAGAGACTCACGTTTGTGAAAATGAATCAGGCGTGGATTAGTCTGGATTTCAAACCACCAGTTCCTGACACAACTGACTAAATCCGCCATGAATCATGCCTCAAACATGTGCCACTTTCAGGTCTCCTCACACACTGCTGGTGTGTAGTAATTTTTTTTTGACATAGGGTGCTGGCAGATTACGGGCCCCCATAGCTGCTGCCAGGCCCCTAATCTGCCATAGGCCCCTATATACCGCCTCCTCATGCTGCTGCCAGGTCCAGAGTCTCTCATGGGTCCCTGTACGGCCTCCCATTGCTGCTGTCTCCATCGCCACACACTCTGCCATGTGCCACTTTCAGGTCTCCTCACACACTGCTGGTGTGTGTAGAATTTTTTGACATAGGGTGCTGCAGATTACGGGCCTCCCATAGCTGCTGCCAGGCCCCTAATCTGCCATGGGCCCCTATATACCGCCCGCCTCCTCATGCTGCTGCCAGGTCCAGAGTCTCTCATGGGTCCCTGTACGGCCTCCCATTGCTGCTGTCTCCATCGCCACACTCTGCCATGTGCCACTTTCAGGTCTCCTCTCACACTGCTGGTGTGTTGAATTTTTTGACATAGGGTGCTGGCAGATTATGGGCCTCCTATAGCTGCTGCCAGGCCCCTAATCTGCCATGGGCCCCTATATACCGCCTCCTCATGCTGCTGCCAGGTCCAGAGTCTCTCATGGGTCCCTGTACGGCCTCCCATTGCTGCTGTCTCCATCGCCACACTCTGCCATGTGCCACTTTCAGGTCTCCTCACACACTGCTGGTGTGTAGAATTTTTTGACATAGGGTGCTGGCAGATTACGGGCCTCCCATAGCTGCTGCCAGGCCCCTAATCTGCCATGGGCCCCTATATACCGCCTCCTCATGCTGCTGCCAGGTCCAGAGTCTCATGGGTCCCTGTACGGCCCCCATTGCTGCTGTCTCCATCGCCACACTCTGCCATGTGCCACTTTCAGGTCTCCTCACACTGCTGGTGTGTTGAATTTTTTGACACATAGGGTGCTGGCAGATTACGGGCCTCCTATAGCTGCTGCCAGGCCCCTAATCTGCCATGGGCCCCTATATACCGCCTCCTCATGCTGCTGCCAGGTCCAGAGTCTCTCATGGGTCCCTGTACGGCCTCCCATTGCTGCTGTCTCCATCGCCACACTCATGTGCCACTTTCAGGTCTCCTCACACACTGCTGGTGTGTTAGAATTTTTTGACATAGGGTGCTGGCAGATTACGGGCCTCCCATAGCTGCTGCCAGGCCCCTAATCTGCCATGGGCCCCCTATATACCGCCTCCTCATGCTGCTGCCAGGTCCAGAGTCTCTCATGGGTCCCTGTACGGCCTCCCATTGCTGCTGTCTCCATCGCCACACTCTGCCATGTGCCACTTTCAGGTCTCCTCACACTGCTGCTGGTGTGTAGAATTTTTTGACATAGGGTGCTGGCAGATTACGGGCCTCCCATAGCTGCTGCCAGGCCCCTAATCTGCCATGGGCCCCTATACCGCCTCCTCATGCTGCTGCCAGGTCCAGAGTCTGTCATGGGTCCCTGTACCGGCCTCCCTCATGCTGCTGCCAGGTCCACCATCGCCACACTCTGCCATGTGCCACTTTCAGGTCTCCACACACTGCTGGTGTGTTGAATTTTTTGACATAGGGTGCTGGCAGATTACGGGCCTCCTATAGCTGCTGCCAGGCCCCTAATCTTGCCATATAGGGCCCCTATATACCGCCTCCTCATGCTGCTGCCAGGTCCAGAGTCTCTCATGGGTCCCTGTACGGCCTCCCATTGCTGCTGTCTCCATCGCCACACTCTGCCATGTGCCACTTTCAGGTCTCCTCACACTGCTGGTGTGTAGAATTTTTTGACATAGGGTGCTGGCAGATTACGGGCCTCCCATAGCTGCTGCCAGGCCCCTAATCTGCCATAGGCCCCTATATACCGCCTCCTCATGCTGCTGCCAGGTCCAGAGTCTCTCATGGGTCCCTGTACGGCCTCCCATTGCTGCTGTCTCCATCGCCACACTCTGCCATGTGCCACTTTCAGGTCTCCTCACACACTGCTGGTGTGTGAATTTTTTGACATAGGGTGCTGGCAGATTACGGGCCTCCCATTGCTGCTGCCAGGCCCGTAATCTGCCATGGGCCCCCGTACCGACTCCTCATGCTGTGACGTTGCAACAAGGTGGAATTCAACCCTACATATGTTAGACCGCCTTTACGAACAGCAAAAGGCCATCACAGATTTCCTGATGTTAAAAGCGGATAAAGGTACTCCCTGTGTAACTTAGATGTCAGCCATTGGCAGCTCATGCGTGACACCTGCGCTTGCTCAGGCCCTTTGAGGAGGCCACGCTATTCGTGAGTCGGCAGGACTATGGGATGAACGACGTCATTCCTCTGTTGCACGTCCTGGAACAAATGCTGTTAACAATGGCTGGTCAGGGTGCGGTAGACGTGGCGCACAGATCTCAACGCCACATGACCCCTGTGGGGGCAGGACAGGAAGAAGAGGAGGAGGTAGAGGAGGACATTGGTGCTCAGGAATTATTGAGTGAAATGGGTGGTTTTTCCACTCAGCGGACAGGAGTGGAGGAGCAGGAGCATCTGGTAGAGGAGGAGGAGGAGAGGAGACAGAGGACCCAGACGCACCGTGGCAGTATGCTGTGGAGATGGAGGCAGGGAGTCCCTCGCATTCCTTGGCACAAATGGCCCATAGCATGCTCGCTTGCTTGCGTAGCGACAGCCGAATAATAACCATCAGACAGAGGGATGACTTTTGGCTGTCCACCTTGTTGGACCCTCGCTACCGTTCAAAAATGGTGGCCTTTTTCACACCTGCTGAGAGGGAGGCCAAAATAACGTACTATAAAAACCACCTATGTAGTCAGCTGGTCTCTGCCTGTCTGCGCCAACGTCCATCCTCAGACACTGTGGGCCCTGTGCGCTCGCGTTCCGCTGCCATGGCAGCAGGGGAGGGGTGGGGTGGTAGGAGCAGTGGCAGCTCCACCAGCAGCGGCTGCCTCAGTCTGCAGTCGATGATGAGTAGCTTTCTTCACCAGCGCAGTGAGAAAAACTACTAACCAGCCGCAGCAGCAGCAGCAGCATCAGGTGGACCTGGAGCAGGACCTCAAACAACAGGCTTAGGCCTACTTGGACAGCACCCTGCCAACCGAGGTAGACAATCCCCTTGACTACTGGGCAACGAAACTTGACCTTTGGCCCCAACTAGCTGAATTTGCCCTTGAAAGGCTGTCATGCCCGGCCAGTAGCGTGGCATCGGAGCGCGTGTTTAGTGCGGCAGGAGGTATTGCAACTCCGCGGAGGACACGACTGTCCACCCAAAGTGTGGAGAGACTGACGTTTGTGAAAATGAATCAGGCGTGGATTAGTCTGGATTTCAAACCACCAGTTCCTGACACAACTGACTAAATCCGCCATGAATCATGCCCCAAACATGTGCCACTTTCAGGTCTCCTCACACTGCTGGTGTGTTCCATTTTTTGTCATAGGGTGCTGGCAGATTACGGGCCTCCCATAGCTGCTGCCAGGCCCCTAATCTGCCATGGGCCCCTATACCGCCTCCTCATGCTGCTGCCAAGTCCAGAGTCTCTCATGGGTCCCTGTACGGCCTCCCATTGCTGCTGTCTCCATCGCCACACTCTGCCATGTGCCACTTTCAGGTCTCCTCACACTGCTGGTGTGTTCCATTTTTTGTCATAGGGTGCTGGCAGATTACGGGCCTCCCATAGCTGCTGCCAGGCCCCTAATCTGCCATGGGCCCCTATACCGCCTCCTCATGCTGCTGCCAGGTCCAGAGTCTCTCATGGGTCCCTGTACGGCCTCCCATTGCTGCTGTCTCCATCGCCACACTCTGCCATGTGCCACTTTCAGGTCTCCTCACACTGCTGGTGGGTTCCATTTTTTGTCATAGGGTGCTGGCAGATTACGGGCCTCCCATAGCTGCTGCCAGGCCCCTAATCTGCCATGGGCCCCCGTACCGACTCCTCATGCTGCTGCCAGGCCCGTAATCTGTCATGGGCCCCTGTTGTCGCTTGTTGGCATATTCCGCTCGTTCAGATGCTCCTTCTGTCCCTGTTCCTGCTGCCAGGCTCGTAATCTGTCATGCGCCCCTGTACCACCTCCTCATGCTGCTGCCAGGTCCAGAGTGTGTCATGGGTCCCTGTACGGCCTCCCATTGCTGCTGCCAGGCCCGTAATCTGCCATGGGCCCCCGTACCGACTCCTCATGCTGCTGCCAGGCCCGTAATCTGTCATGGGCCCCTGTACTGCCTCCTCATGCTGCTGCCAGCAGACTCCAAGGGCATTTAAATTAAAGGTACAGTGTTCTGCACTAATATTAAGTCTCTCTGAAGCCTAGAAACACCCTTTTTTAAGTTAAATTCACAGCGAATATATTCGACTCGAATCAAAATTTTTCCACGAATTCGCCGAATCAGTCCGAATAGAATTTTTGAAATACTTTGCGCGTCACTCTCTAGTATAGGGAATAATGGAAGCAATGCAGCTACATAGCTTAAAGGACCACTATACTATTGATGGCGGTGATCTCAGCAACTTGCAGCAGGAACGCATGATATGCGTGAGGCAGAAAGCAGGTACTCTCAGCATTATTGAATGACAATTAGTCATTGTGCCCAAATTAAAGTTTTTATAATTTTTTTCACAAGAAATAGAGTCTTCCTTTTTGGTGGTATTTGATCACCATAGGGGTATTTATATTTTTTTATATAAATTGAAAAAATAGTGAAAATTTTAAGAAACCCAGATACTTTTCTTTCTTCTTGCTCTTGTTGTCTTTTCTTCGTTTCTTACTTTATCTTACTTTCTTTCTTCTGTCTACTTTCCTTGTTCTTTATTCTTTTCCTTTTTTCTTTCTTCCCTGACTTATACTTCCTCTATTTTCTTACTTTTATTTCTGTTATTAAAATATATCCAATAAAATTAAATTTTAGCATAAATTTAGCCCATGAATGTATTACAGCTGCATGGTCTTTGCTAAAAAAAAAAATCCCAATAGTGTATAAAATAAATGATAAAAGACTGAAAATTAAAAAAAAACATTTCTCTACTTTCAGATAAAACATAACCAAAGTAAAAAAAAAATCTCATGAAGATTTACGGTGAGGCCAATATGTAATCGGTACATGTCCCTTATGGTAACATAAAGATAAAAATCCCCATAAATATAACAAAAATAATTTGGGTTTGTGTGAAAGTTATTGAATCTACAAACTATAGAATATATATTATGGAAAAGTCTATAGGCAGCTAAGGCACACTATAGGTAGTGAATGGGGGCTGATCATAAAACTTGCAGTAGGTGACTGTAATTAGTGTGGCAGAAAAAGCAGGTGCTAGCTGACGCGGCTTGGAGTACGAAACTGAATAATGACCCCTGACATCAATAGTGACACTAATACATGATTAGTGCAAATAAGGACCTCACGCGGCTCACCCCTTCAAACCAAATGAACAGA